AAAAGATAAAGAATATTATCAAAAGGTTAATATATATATATATATATATATATAACGTAATATCAACATGATCACTAATTATTTTATTTTTCAATTAAAATACATATATATAAATAGATAATATTAGAACAAATCAATAGACCAGCAGAACGTCGTTGCCCATTTGCTAAAACTTCGATTGAAGCAACAGAATTGTTGTGTGATTATTGGGATATTAGCACCGGATGTAAGAAATATATTATTATTATTATTATTATTATTATTATTATTATAACCAGTTTCTTTATAATTCTCATCCAATAATATTGATTAATTATTAATTATAATAATATATAAATAATAATAATTAGATACGACTTCAACATCATTTCAACCCTTGTTATTATCATTTGGCAAAATTCATTATATTACTATTAAAGCATTTTTTAGATTATGGAATGAAATGGAGGCGACATCCGATGATTTCCCTAAAGTATCAGCTCTTGTTCGTAGTCAACTTAAATTTGCTCTTAAGGATGAAGTTACCAAACAACTTTATGAATTTGAAAAGGATATGTTAGAAGTTGAATATAAAGTTATCAGAGATAGACAATTAAAAGAATTGGAACTTGGTGATGACTTATTAAGTAAAACTCCTGTCAGGTACTTGATTAATTTAATTATAGATATATATCATAAATATTGACAATATTTATTAATATTAAAAAAATTTGTTATGTATTATAAAATAATCACTGTTATTATTGTTTAGAAATCTTCGTAGTAAATTGTATACAGAATCATATGAATTTGTTAAACAACAAAGAATTAAATGTTTATTACGCGGAGATTGGTTTCCAGTTATTACATCATCATCATCGTCAAATCAACCCTCATCATCCTCCTCCTCAAATCAAACACAAAATAATAGCGGTAATCGTAGGTCTTTGTCTAGTAAAAAATGGAGATTCTATAGACTTAGTCCAAACGCTAAATTTTTACATTACTGCGATTTTACTGAAAAATCTTACATTAGAGAAGGTATAGAAGATTTACCAGAAAGAAGTAAGTGTAAATTGTTTTTGGTGGGAGGAAACAAAAATGTTTTAAAAAATATTTATTTAATTTATTTGTTTATTTCTAACTTATACTCCATCCATCACGTCACATTCTATTTTATCTAAACAGTTGATTTATCATTAGTAACAGATGTGATGACAGGTACAACATCACAATTATCGAATCAAACATTATCATCAATCAAATATAATGTTAATAACAACAGTAATGGTAGTAATAATAATAACATTCCTACTAATAACGCTAATAGTAATAATAATAATAATAATAATAATAATAATAATAATAATAATAATAATAATAATAATAATAATAATAATA